CAGTGTTCTTCCGCATTCGCGACTTGCTTCAACCGTATCTTCGCTGCTTCTGCTGCATCCCTGGTCGGACGTGGGGTAAAGGTTGGTGCTTCCGGGTTGGGGGTCCACTTTGTCTCGTCGCAGGATAGCTCTAAGGGATAAATATGCTGGACCGCTCGCTCGATATTCCCGTTCGAGGTCCGTATACTAGCTCCCCGTATCACATCATCTCTCCCTTTCATCACCCTGGACACGACTCCGAGTTTCCATGCATGACGTTTTTTGTCTTCGTCCCGAATTATGACGATCTCCTCCATCTTTGGATAGGAGGTCTGTTGGCCGACTCGTTGGTTATGGCGTTCGCGCAGGCTTCGAACATACTCTTGGGACCAACGTTTCCACATCGCCTCTTTACTTTTCCGTAATAGTCTCGCACGTTTTCGTAAATCTCTATCTTCCAGGTAGTGGGGATCAACTTCAGGCAGGACACAAGGGTTAATGTTCAGCATTGAGGAAGGTGTAAGTACTGGTAATTGGATGTCATCTTCTAGATAGGTCAACGGACGATTATTGAGAGCCACTTCCACATCCAATACTACTTCCTCTAATTCGTCGAAGGTCAACGTTCCGTTACCGATCGTTTTGTAGAACGCTCTTTTGAAGAGACCAATGAGGCGTTCAAATTGGCCTCCCCACCATGGTGCACGACTAAGGTTGAACCTCCACTCGATTGCGTTGTCAGCCAGGAATGCGTTGAACTTCTCGTCCTTTTGTGCTTTCTTCAGCCATTTGTCGGCAGCCTTAAAGGTCTTCGCGTTGTCGGAATATATGATCTTCGGGCGACCACGTCTTGCGATGAGTCTTTTCAGACTTGGTATGAACTCCGCAACTTCCAATGACCGTAAAATCTCGAGATGCACTGCACGCGTCAAACTGCAGCCATAAAGCACCAGATATGCCTTCTTCTCCGCCTTTGCTTTAGTCCGGTAGCGTATTGGACCCGCAAAATCTACTCCAATGACTTGGAACGGGGTTGAACCTTGCGTTCTCGTGATTGGCAGCTTCCCAGGTGGAGGTTTCTTATATGCTTGAGCTCTAAATCTCACGCACCCGTAACAATCTTTCCGCACTTGCTTCACCAACCGTCGCAGTTTTGGAATCCAAAATCGCTCACGTACTTTTGCCATGACCATAGCGACACCACCGTGGAGGGTTACTAGATGTGCTCGTTCGACTACTTTCTTGGCTAAGGTGGAACTACGAGGCAAGTACACGGGGAAATCTCCTTCAATGCGACCGCGACATTCGAGTACTCCGTTTCCGTTAAGCTGAATGTTCAATTGAAGTTGGATGTCGTGGAATTCAGGATCTTTCTTGACTTCACTTTGCGTTCTTTTAATCGCCCAAAGTTCACTTTTTTCGATTTCTTCCGACGTTAACGGTCCTGTTTTCCGATTTTCGCAGGATACCTTACGATTCTGTGCAAACCGGTTGAATTGGGCACGAATTATCAGGGCCTTCCGGAGAGAAAACTTCTTGAGCAACTCTTCCCATATGTCGATGGTGATCGATTGCTTGAGCGTTGTCAGTGCTTGTTGATTCTTGGTCGGTTTTAGTTCCTCTTCCACTTCTCGATTCGCTTCGAGCACTGGATTTGGTGGCCACTTTGCGGGGTCTTTCAGCCACTGTGGACCATTTTCCCAAAGGTCGTTTCCAACAACACTTCCACCGCGACTACCTAAGTCAGCAGGATTTTGTTTCGTTGGTACGTGATGCCATTTCACACGAGTGTGGGTTTGGATCTTGGCAACGCGGTTGGCAACGAACTGGCGATATTCTCCTTGACCATTGATCCAGTAGAGCGCTACTGTGGAATCCAACCAGCAATGGACCGACGAGACTAATTTTTGATCGTTTTCATTCTCCACGTTTGATAACAAGTTCACTGCCATGTGTCCGGCAACGAGTTCTAGACGAGGTATGGAGAGATTACGCTTCGCCAATCGAGATTTCGCGCACACCAACCCTTGCGTTGTTCCATGTTCTTGCTCTACAACTGCATATACCACGGCCGACACTCCAACTTTGCTTGCGTCGCCAAAGGCATGAAGTGTGATCGCTGCAACGAGCTCCTGGTGGGGAGCTAAGGATCGTGGAATCTCGTAACTTTGTGGGAGTCCTGTGTACCACTCTTCACCATCCCAAGGAATACGGGCTTCACACATTTCTCGGAAGAGATTCTTTCCTTGCAACGTCATAGGAGAGACCAACCCTAGTGGATCGTATATTTTGGCAAGTTGGGATAACACACTTCTCTTGGTTGTGCCATGACCTTCGTGATCAAGTGTAACGCTTAGACTGTCTTTCGACTTGTCCCATGAAAGCCCAAGCAGTTTGGTCTGCGGTTTCTCATCTCCAAGCTCTTGCTTCGCGAATGTTATTTCCTCGTCATTCGTTGTTGGACTTTCCACTTCCTTCACATTCGAGTGCCATTTGTGCAGTTTGAACGTGGCGTCTTCGAAGATTTCTCTGGCTTGACTCTTCTTTTCCTTTACTTCCGTTATGGTCGCTCCCCCCGTCATAAGGTCGTCAACGTAAAGGTTCTTGCGTATCTCTTCCACGAGTTCAGGACGTTTTGTCTCCCATGATTTCAAATGTTCGTTCAATACACCGTTAAGAAGGAAAGGCGAACATGTGAGGCCAAACAACGCTCTTGTAAATCGGTACACGACTGTATCATCGCTTCGAGGTGCTTTCCAATGAAACCTGAGTGCATCACGTTCAGCTTCTTTGATTCTCACCTGAAGAAATGCTTTCTCAAGATCGCCAGTGAGTAGGATAGGGAGGAATCGGGAACGAACCAAGATGGACCAAAGAAGATTTTGCAACGAGGGACCGGGGTTTAAACAATCGTTCAAGGACGGCGATGTCCTGGATTCCTTGGCGGAAGCATCGTAAACAATACGCAGCTTTGTTGTTTCAGCCGTGTTTTTGACAACCGCTTTGTGTGGAATGTAAAATTCCTTGTCACTTGCTTCGTGTGGAGCCAGTTCGATCACCCCATACTCCAACTGCTGAGTAATTATGTCATTATACTGGTCGTATTGATCACTGGCCTTCAGCCGCTTTACCAAGTTGTCTAAGCGTCGACGACTCCCCATTTCATTGGTTGGCAGAGGGGGGTTATTTGATCTCCAGGGCAAGCCAGTTTCGTACCATCCTTCGGGGCTTCTTTCGAGTTGTTCTTGAAACTCTTCGTATACAGGAAGTTGATCGTTCTCTGCGCTGTCTGCGAGAACGAGTACGTCTAGACGGCATAGCTTGTCGAAATCCATTTGCGATGTCTGAGTTAAGAACATTTTCGTCTTGTCAAACTCGGCCCCAGGACTGAGGATCATCCATCCCAACTTGGTCCTCTCCGCCACTGGTTCTCCTTCTCCCCCGATAAGAGGTTTCTTTGCTGTCTTTATACGGGCATATTTACCGCTTCCGAGGATGACGTGAATGGGTAGTTGACTTTTCGTGTCGTGATCGTCCATATGTACGGCGTTGAGGTGTTGATAACGCTTTATCAACTTCTCGTACTCAGGGTTTTCAATGAACAAGAGCTCTTATCGACCTTGTTTAATCTCGTCATCATTTCGTGTCTTCCGTCGTAGGAAGTGATGGTTACGTCATATTGCTCGACCTTTGCTTTGCGTGATGTCAAGAGCATATCAATTTGTTGATCTTTAATTTCACTCGGCTTGATGACAAGTGCACTAATTAATTGAGCTGAGGCATAAGAGCTCCCGGCGCCAGAGTCTATCAACGCGCGACATGTTAAACCATTTACTTTAATCACAACTACAGGAAATATGCCCTCACCACTGCCACCATCTGTCATCAACTTCTTATCACCGGACGCATGTTTAGCTTGATCACAAATGGATGAGTGATGACGTTTGCCGCATTGGCTGCAGGCAGATTTACTTGTACAATCAGCAGCGCGATGGGGTTTCGTTGCGCAATTAAAACAAAGACCCTTTCTTGCCAGTATTTTCTTTCTTTCGCCTACATCACTAACGTTTTCGCATTGGACGGCTTTATGGCTCAAATCACCGCAGTAAACACATCCCCTGGGCACAAATCGCTGATTTTGAGAATGGAAGAGTTTTCTTGCATTGTTCTCCTCCCGTTCCCCTCCAGAGCTAGTTACGGGGTTTCTCTTTACCCATTGATTCACGGCATCAGTTAGTTTGATAAAATCCCAGGCATCCCACTCAGGGTCGTTGCGCACCAAATCCCCCCGAATTCCCGATAGTTTATCAAGGGTCATTGATACGTTCCCATTAACATTACTAAGTTTGCCCATCGTCTCGAGCGCTTGAACTGAATGCGTAAGTTTATCACAAAAGTTAGCGATCTTACGGGGATTGGCTCCCGGAATGTTTGGTAAATCCAAAATTTCCTTCACATAGCATTTCTCTATTTCTGACTCTTTGCCGTATTTATCTTTCAAAATTACTTTTGCTCTATTATACCCCTCAGGGCTAAATGGAAGAGATTCGACACCGCGTTTTACGTTTGGTTCAAGCAGCTCTAACAGATACGTAAACTTCGTTATTGGCGCTAACAAACTTTTGTCAATCGCTTCAGTGAATTGTCCCCAGAACTTTGGCCAGTCAGTAAAAGAGCCACCAAACTTTGCGATAACGAGTTTGGGTAATTTTGCAGTCCCAGCCGAAAATACTTCGGATTCTTTACATTCCTTTTGATGTTTGGGGGCTGAAGACGAGGCAGAAGACAGTTCGGCTTGCATTTCCATTCTCTTTTCATGCAGTATCATTTCATGCTTTAACTCTTCCTCGTGCGTCACAAACTTTTCGGCCTTTTTGGCCTCAGCAAGAAAATGTTCTAGGTTTTGAATAGCCGCGTCAGCGGGCTCAAACTTTAAATCTAAGTCATCGTTCCATTTTTTGATTTCTGAAAGCTCTTCTTTGTTTGTGATTTTAAATGCCTCAACAGTGCGTCTGCACTCATTGGCCTCGTTGGCCGTTGTTTGTAACGCGTCGAGGTGTCGCTTAATTGCTACTCGCTTACCTGAGCTCAGCAATGTTTTTGACTTCTCTGTTGCGATTTCCAGCTGCGTTAGCTTCGTTTCGAGATTCTCCAACTCTTTCCCGTCCATATTCATATCACAGATTCAGCAGAATCCCGTTCAGGAGGTGCCACTATGTCGAGAATTCGCCTCCAAAATGTAGTCCTCGACAAGTCACAAATGTTCGAAGTAACAAAAATGTATATTCAAACAAAACATAAAATTTACCAAAGATATATAACAAAATTAAAAGGTTCACAATGGTCACGATTACGTATAGATAGATAGCGCACGGGCTATTATCTCTCTTTCACAATACAATTTCTCTCTCACTCACTGTCACAGTCCAACTACAATTGTTCAACTAACTCTCTGCTCTCTTTCGTGACTATTTCACTCACACCCTCACTTTGACACCTAATCATTCCAACGTCATGCACTAATAATCAATTAAAATAATAATCTTATCTGTCAGTTCCCGACAGTGTATTACATGTACAGTATATGATTTACTGTAGTTGCCATATGGTCTCAAAATTAAATTCACTAAATCTAAATGTAAATGTAAAGAGGATTCCCAGTACTAATTATGATAAAGTTTAATGCTGATAGCAACAATAACTGCATTGTCAGAACCTTTGTAAATGTCTTGATTAAATTAAAAACATGTGGAAATGAAAATGGGTTAGGCAAGATCCTCTTGAGTGTCCAAATTGGATATACCAAGGTTTTGACATCTGGTGTCCAAAAGTTGAAACTGATATTGTCAGGATGCCAGGATACTGCAAATTTTGAACCCTGAACTATATTTTGTGTTTTAATTGACTTTGATGTAAACAATATCCTGACAGTTTTAACTGATAACTTGATTACACGTGATATGATCGATCTTGAACGGACGACCTAGCTTCCTATATATAGGCACTGGATATCAATTTCTGCCAACTTTTCCTGCCATCTTTACCTTTACTTTTCTGAAAGGCCAAAATTGACCGAAGGTATTACTACATGGAGAACACGGATTGCTTATTTCCTAGTGGGCTTAACATTGATAAAGTTTTGCATCATTTTAGAATAATATTTTGTCAGTTATGAAAATTAAAGTTTGTCCATCACATTCGAACGTTCTTTCGTTAGACATGGTGATGGCACTGGTTGATGCAGCGAATGACAAAGACAAGTCTGTCACTGAAATGGTCAGATCGTCTCTGTATGCCATTGGCTTGGAGAAACCCGAGTTGGTTTTAAGCCTGTGCAAAGATTACATATTGAAACACCAGAAGGTACAGAACATGCTTATTGTACAGTACTTCACTTAGTTTACTAAGGGTTCGTACAACACTTGAAAGTCCTTGAATGTGCTTGAATTTGAAAACAAAACTTCAAGGCCTTGATAGTCCTTAATTTGGAAGAAGTACTTGAAAGTGCTTAAATTTTTCTTGCTTTAGTTTTTGGATATTTTCTGAAATTGTTTGACATTGAAAATGGACATTTTGTTGAATTGATTTTGCATGTTCGTATCTTACTTTTTATCCACCCAAACATTTGGAAATTTGAAAAAGTCGAAATTTTACAAATATTACGCGTACATGATGTATACAAATAAGGGAATGCTCTTGGATAAGGTTTTGTGTGACGTAATTCCGTTCGTCTGTCCTCTAATAGATCATGGCTCTCAACCAATGAAAGCGCTTGAATTCTTAAACAGTAAGAGTTGGATTTTGCTGCTAGGGGAAAAGCGATATTCATTTACGGCAGGAATATCCAAATCTTGTTATTTGGGGCTGTTGGACTCGGAGGAGTCACCAAAAGTGGTGACGAGCATATGGCGCAGTCTGCACTCAACTGATTCAAGTCCATGTCCGACTCGCTACAACACTGCTTTATTCCGTCCAATTTATGTTTAAATCCTTTCCTGTAGCTAAGTATAAAGAGCACCGTGTTGTCTTGCTGGAATCCATGGGCAAGATTATATCAGATAAGAGGGATGTCATTAAAGCAGATCTAGCCAAAGAACGTTTGAAATTGGCCTTTCAGGAAATGACAAAATCAAAGGTAATTTTTCTGCCAGATTTTACCATGTAGATAACTACTGATCTTGCTCGTAGGTAAACTGCGACGCATCTTTTCATAATTTTCAGGATATTCAACCAAAGTGGCAAACTGCTGCATCAGACCTCATCGTGTCTGTTGGTAAGAAGTTCAAACATGAAGTAATGAGCGAACTGCTTGAAAACTTGGTGCCAGGAACGTTACCCCACTACTTTGTCATATTAACCTTGGCTAACTTCGCTCAAGCTGATTGTAAGAGCAAAGAAAAATTACTATTTATTTATTTATTAACTTTACAACCATACAAAAGTACTATAAAATTATTACAAATAAACGTTTTAAAAAGACCGAGCAACACTTAATTTAAATATGGTTGAAGGTATAGTCAATAATGGGACATGCATGAGTCCCATGTGAAGACCAACCTGAATACCTGACAAAAGACAAGGCATACAACACTATTTACATAATTTTGTGAAACGCATTAATAATTCATGAAGAAAACACAAAAGAAATGATGAGCGTGAAGGAGTTTGTATATCTGATACAGAATCATGCTGATTTACGTAAACTTTAAGTTCAATTTTCTCAACAAATTTCATTAGTTTATTTTAAATTGCTGAAAAGTACAAATGTTCCCATCAAGACGTTTCACAAGTCATTGCTGACGCAGCGAGCGAGCCTGAAGCGAGCGAGCAAGTCAGCAGTTCTAATTCGTATTGGGCTCTGAAAGTAAGATTTTACTTCCGTTTCTTCGACCAGAATGCACTGCTGTTAACCGACCAGAATGCATCGCTGTTAACCGACCAGAATGCTTTGCATGCATGATGCTATATAAATGCAGTTGTTTTGGTGTATTTTGTATTAATTGTATGGTCTGTTGATTTCTGGCTTGTCTTTACATTATATATACTGAATTTGCTTATTACAAACAATTTGTAACGCTTGGACAGCGATGTTTCTGTGTTTGTGTTCTTCCCCTTATCTTGTTTTCTCTTTTCTTACAGGATTTAGCACTTCACTATATAGTAAAATCAACATTGGTCATTGTAATTTGACGCTAGCTCAAAGCGTTCATTTCAAGCGTTAAAAGTGAACTAATTTTATCTCGATTGTTGTCGATCAGTTTGGTATAATTTAAACAGGGTTTCGTCTGTTGACTTTTTGTTCGAATTGAATCTGACTTGACTATCAGGGTAATTGACACGGAGACATGGCATCACCAGTTCGGCAACTGCCAACTATATATGCATGACTATAGTATCGCATTTTGCCAGAACCATGCTTTGCATGTAATTTCATGGGTTAATTAAATGTACTTTTGCCTGCCAAATAGCATGGTACACTATACTGTAAACACAATATGATGTTATGCATGTGCATAGTTTAAACATGCAACGCAATCAGGGGCATGTCAGTGGAATTGAAGAAGTGCATGGAATACTTTTTATCATTGATCATGTTTTTGTAATTTTGTTATGTTAGGCCTGTTTCAAACGTCGCGCTTCTCATGTGCCAAACGTATTAGAAACAATAGATAATACATTAATAAGGCATTTCAGCTCATTATCTATTGTTTTTAATGCGTTCGGCACATGAGAAGCGCGACGTTTGAAACAGGCCTAAGGCATGTGTCGAATGCATTAATTTAAGAAAAACAATGTCCTATAGCTTAACGTTAGTGTTTGAAGGAACGTCGCTTTAAGTTAACGTCCTTGCATGGATTCAAGTTTTGCTCCATGTTGTTCGGTTTTCAGTTCTTAAACGACTTCGCATCAGTAAATTCAAAAGAAAGGGAATTTGGCGAAGAATTGTTTTCAAGCGAAGTAAAACATCAGCTATAAGCACTTTACTTTAGCCTGGTTCACATATGCCGGCGCTATCATTGTTCGCAGCTGTTGATGCATACATTCTCAGTTTGTGAATTATTTGGTTCATAGATATCTTATATACATTAGATAGCGCATCTCTTTTAGTAAAAGTGAAGCCAATTAAGAATATTCCTGCGGTTACCCCCATTTGAATAGATGGCGGCCATGTATACGTTGAAGTTTCCCACTCGCTAATAAACGCTTAAAAAAGAACAATAACTTTCATCATTCGAATTGTTTGAAAATGTATTTGGAATAGGTTTAACTTTTAATGTTTAAGTTCCCTGTTTAAGAAATAGAAAACATACGAGTCTTCTCATTTCATGGGAATATCTTGAGTCTGCAATCACGGCTTCAATTTTTGAATTGCAGAATAATTAGATGCACTATCTAGTGTATATAAGATATCTATATATGGTTGAACTGCTATAACGACAATACTGTCAATAGCCCGCCGACAGTAAACAGGGTGTCCCAAAAAAACAACTATTGAAATAATGTATTGTTAGAATTTGAATGCTCTAGCGCTAAGCTGAACGCAAAGATGCGTAAAATATTGACAGGGTGCATATGTTAAATATTGACTTATTAAGAAATTAAAATATCGTTGTAAAGCTCACAATTTTCTGCTCTTTGGAATTTAAAGCAGCTTCTTTTAAAAACAGTTTCTTTGTGCATAAAATTTACTTATGTCAAGCTTTTATGCACTTGTGGGTCCTGCAGAGTGCTGAGGCAATCAAATTCTCAGAATACGATATTTCAATCGTTTTGGTTTTTGGGGGGACACCCTGTATGTGGATCAGGCTTTTACGTTTAAGTACTATAGTTAAAACTTGTCGCGCGAATCTTTTGTCTCTCTTTCAATTTTAACAATAAAAAATTCGCTTCGCACGAAGAAATTCGCTTGTGGAAAACAAGGCTAACAAAAATTACATAGTTGAGTGGAATTTTCAAGCTGTTAGCGTTGTATAATGTGATATTGCAAAGCCAGGAAAAGTTTGCCAGTGGAATGTTCGCTATAAACGCGTAAGTTAAAACTACAATTGTCTCGAACATTTTTATGTAAATTATTAATAAGTAATAGCATGGTTTCTCGTGAAATTTGGATAAACATGCACTCGTGAGTTTTTTCAAAGACCTCAAATAGCACTCGTCCTTCGGACTCATGCTATTTTGAGGTCTTTGAAAAACTCACTCGTGCATGTTATATCCAAATTGCACTCGAAACCATGCTATTACCTATACAAAACACTCGCGCTGCGCTCTCGTCTTTTGAATCTGATAAAACACTCGCTGCTCGTGTTTTGGATACCTGTACCGCACTCATGCACTGTACAGTTGTGGTCTTGTGATAGTTTGAAGTAATGTTTGTGCATGGTCTTTAATTAGTGATACAGTGTATCGTTGTTGTGTAATTAAAAGGTTGTTAATATGGAAAGATGAGGCCGTTTTTTGATATATCGTCAAAGTAAGAAATAAGTCAGCATTTACTACTGATAGGTATACTAGTTTACAACATTCGCGTCCGTCATGTTGTGTCGGATATACAAGCTCTCGCCTTCGGCTCGAGTTTGTACAGTATATCGGATACAACACGGCCGCTCATGTTGTAAATGGTACAGTATATGTGTAAGACAGATTAAGAGCAGCAGCGTATAAGTTGAAAGAACGGCATTTAGAGCAGTGCATGTAGGTTTTCCAAGTACACATTTGTTTACATCAAAAGAAGAATCTAGTGAATATAGGGTTGGTGCATGCTTAAAGGTGGAAACAGACAAACTCATGTTACGACCTCAAGTATATCAGGACGGCAACACGACGACTACGTGTGGTCTATTATCAGTATATCCAGTGTTTGTCACCGTGTGTGTTTTTGTTTAGCTTTTACTTTAGTCCCCTTTCTGAAAGATATTCTGGGCAGGTTGCTACCGATGTTATTGTTGACAAAGCAAGATAATATGAAATGGGTGTTTGCTCATTGTAAGTAAATACAATATCGGGTTCTTTTACTATGCTCTCATTTGCTCTCACTATGCTCTCATTTGCTTACCTATTTGTTTGAATGGAGCGTTCTAGTTCCCATTGAAGTCAGTGCGCAAAAAAATTTAATATGCTCCCGCTGTGGTATTTTAACTGTTGGAGGGCAATTTGTTTATTTGTGACCCGCGTAGAAAATGTTACTAAAATGGCCACAAATAAAAGATATCACCAGACATAACCAGGTCGAATATCTTCTTGTCTTTTTCAGGTAGTTCATCTCTACCAACGAAGGTTTTGCCTGCCTTTCCGGTAAGCCTCGCAGTGCCTCGGAAGGCAGTCTCCAATTGGATGCGGGTTTTCTAAAGAACGAAGCAATTCATTGTTATAAACACAAAAGCAATTGTCAAATCGAGCCAATGAAAATCACTCTTCCGAGCCACTGCGAGGCTACCCGCTTTTCCATGTGTATTTTTGTTTGTTAAATATTGGTATTCAAATTTTCTTATTGTGTAGGTTTCTCGCGGTTTTCAGAAAGCGTTACGTATTACTTGGCAAACGTTGAAAGTACAAGTCATAATGATATCAGACAAAATACATTTGAAGGAGAAATGTTATCTGCTTATGATATTTTATTTAACGTTTGGATAAAAAGCAACGAAGCAAAGGTAGTTACCGTCAAGGAAAGGAAAGGTCAAGAAAACTTCCTTACTAAATTGCATATCATCGATCGATGCATAACCTTTTGAAGTATGGCTTCTGCAGCAAACAGTAAATTGTAGTACTGTACGCAATGCTGTAAATTGCAAAATTAGAGAATATGGTAGGTCGTTTTCAATTTGCCTCAATTGCTGCATGGTTGCAGAATATAGTTGGAGAACAATTGGTGTGATGTTTACCTGGTGTAATAGGCAATTCCAGCTTTTAATTTATGCGCGCAGGGGGTGACAGGAAGTAAGGTATCATATTGCTGATTATGCTAAGAAAATTCAATAAAAACTGTCGAAACAACCGAAATATTTCAATATTTACAAGTATAAGCTATCACTCCGTGTTTACACGGCCACCATTTTTATTTTCAGCATAATCAGCAATATGATACCTTACCCCCCTGCACGCATAAACTAAAAGCTGGAATTGCCTGTTAAGTTACTGTCTATTCTGCGTCTTCGTTTGTTCCTAGTGGCAGTAGTGCGGTATTCTTATATAGAGTTAAATGAACAAATGTCGTGAAAATTACAAACCTCTGTACAAATATTGAAAATGCAGAATAGGCAGTAACTGAAATCAGGCCGACATTACACTAAATACTTCGACAGACTTTGTTTTGCAGCCAGCGATTGAGGCAAGATGCGAACGACCTACCGTACTTTAATCTCAGATTTTGCGATTAACAACGTCGCGTTATATAATTCACTGCTGAAGCCATATTTCAACGTATAATATGCGAATTACGAAGGAAGTAGAAAAAAGCATGTCCGTGACTTTTGGCATACATGCATGGTGCTGAGACCAGCCAATTTACCTACAAAATCTTTTCTCAATTCTTAACACACACAAATTTAAAAAACGAAGCTTTTGGCTTCAGTAGACAAATCGTCGTTAAGCCTGGTTTCCATATCATGGTCATAAAAATAGAGTCACGATCTTTCTCAAGCGGCAGTTTATAATAGTTTATACCTGTAAACCACATATATATTTATATAATCACTCCACGTATTTTCAGTTCTAAGACTCTTTTGTCTGGAACACCAACATTGCCGCCATGGCTTTTGTTGAGTTAGTCCCTGGGGAAACGTTTTATTTCGGCTGATGAGAAAGATGGTGACTCAATCTTTACGACCGTTACGACCATATGGAAGCCAGGCTTTACCCAATTCACAACATTAGATAAATCACATGCCTAGTTACCATTGTTTTAGTTTACAGAAGCATAGAAAAGAACAAAGGTAACTAAGTTAGAGTTATTCATTCATGCAGATAATACTAAAGCTTAGTCACCTTTGTTCTATTCTATGCTGCTTTATACCAGAAGAATGATAATTATAGGCATGTGAGTTATCACAGTCAAAGAGAGTTATTGACGATGTCTATTTTATATAATTTATAAATTGACTCCCACACGGCAATCTTGTAAAAAGGTAGATTATCTCTCTAAAGTTTGTTTGTATTTTTTATCAAGATTCAATATGTGCCAAAGGATTTACTATACCGTGACTAAAAATATTGTATTGTACTGTGAGTGCTGGACTTGTTTAATTTTCAACTGATATTTTGATAAATTAAAAGGTATTTTTTAGACACAATTTTTTAGAAAAACTATTTTACTGTATAAAAATGATATTTTCATAAATGTATTTCAAAACCAGCAGGAGCACAACTCAAAAGCGTAACGGTACCGCGATTTAAGATTTTCCTGAATAATTCTTACATTATTTTATTGTTTGTTATTCTATTGTTTGTAATTTTATTGTTTGTTATTTTATTGTTTATCATATTTCATCATGGGAGCCTGTTACTTCTGGAGTCTCCCAAGGGTCTGTTTTGGGACCCTTGTTATTTATATTATTTATCAATGATATGCCACAAGTTACTAAATTTAATACTGTGCTTTTCGCTGATGATTCCAAAGTTATTGGTAATGCATATTATCCGGAAGATATTCAAACAGACATTGACTGTGTCAGTAGGTGGTCAGAAATATGGCAGATGAAATTTAATGTGGAAAAGTGTGGTGTACTTCACATCGGAGAGAGCAATCCGCAACATGGCTATACATTGGATGGTATTCAACTAAAAAGTGTACAGAAAGAAAAGAATTTGGGGGTAACCTGGTCTGCCGGGAAGACCTTATTTGATGATCATATTCGAGAAGGAATCGGAAAGGCCAAGAGGATGATTGCCTGGTTAATAAGAAATGTTGTATCTCGTAAACATGAAGTGTTGGTTCCTCTTTACAAGGCCTTTGTGAGGCCCCATCTGGAGTATTGTGTGCAAGTTTGGTCCCCGGTAGCAAAGCATGGTAATTGGGGTATAATTATGGCAACTGAAAAATGTCAAAGGGATTTTACTAGAATAATTCATGGTATGGGTTTTCTCAGCTAAGTGAGAGACTTCAAAAGCTGGGACTGACAACACTTCTCGAATGTAGAATGCGGGGTGATCTTATTGAAGCATACAAGATTATTACCGGACATGTTAACTGTGGCCATCAAATGTTTCACCATAATTTGCATTATAGTACTCGTAATTTATGCAATTTATCATCCTGTAGGACCACATTTGCGTTAGATTGTTTTAGCGTAAGAGTAATTAAGTATTGGAACAATTTACCAAACTCTGTTAATTAAGTATGCACCTAGTGTAAACGCCTTTAATTAAGGCAGGACTTGATGATCTAAAAAGTTATAACCCGGATTCTCGTCACGGATATTGGTATTTATCGCAAGAAATCTTTAACAGAATTCCGGATAAGAATGACCATGTTACTTATCTTAAATTGCATCCAGAGGTTGCTATGCGAAGACATATTTCTTGTTTCTAATTTTTAATAATTGTAATATATATTACTGTAAGATTTATATTTCTGTAATTTTCTTAGATGCATGAGTTGCCCAGAGAGGCATAATTAAATCTTATCTTATCTTATCTTGTTAATTTTACAACTTTACCATATTTTGCATACACTGGCGAACATTTGGTGAAAATTTGATTAAAATCGGACTGATATTGAGCGCGCAAGTAGCGATTTTCCGCAAAACGCCAAAAAGGGTATCCTGTAACCTTAAGGTACGGCTTTCGATAACTGAAGCCATTGGTTATATGTCACATCTGTTATCACGAGAAAAATTGGAGGAACAGAGCTATTATACACTTAAATAAGTCACCGTATATTCCACGATATTTAGATTAAATTTTGATATATGTCTTGCACCTTTTCATGCAATATTGATTGAGATAACTGTGTTTAAACCTAAACAAACATTTTTGGAACCGCCGAGAATTAGCTGAAAAGGCCCTATTAAAACCAATTGAATACCATTTTCTTGCGATTATTGTTCCAATTAGTGGGTTGGTTTGACGAGGTCAGTTGTTCTGGGTCCAAACTTTGTTGAAAGAAATCTCGACACGAGAGAGTACCTCCAATTGATTAATATTGGGATAAGTCTATATGCGATTCAAATAACTCCGGTTCTGAAGCACAATTTGAAAGAGCTTCGTGAAGCGATTGTTACAGCATGCCGCAACTTGAAACAGCAAATGATCCAAAATTCTTAATTTCGATTGTATGATTTCACGGGCAAGACGTTGCATTCGTGCTGGGGGACATGCATTTCCTGATGAATATGGACGATTGTTTTTGAACCACAAGCGTGAACGTACTGACAATAAAGTATAATGCGTCTCAACACAAGTTATTGCATGGTGTATGTATTAATATTTAATAAGCCATTTTTAGCAAATTTCGTCAGTTCCAAAAATGTTTACACCTGTTTAAATGCATGTATCTTTGTCAATATAGCATCGAAATGTGCATGCCATATATCAAAATTTAAGTTGGATATCGCTGAATGCCAATAAACTTGTTTTAGTGTCATTGCTTTTATAGTTTTGATTTTTCAGCAATTCAAACAGTCGTACTTTTTTTGCCCCACCCGGCATGTGAACGAAAATTTAAAACAGCGAATATTTTCTTTAGAAATTAGCATTTTCTGTACTGAGTCTTTCTTGTTGTATTTAGATAAAACATTTCCAAAACAGAAAAAATCAGTTTTAGCATTTTACGTAATAAAAAAATTAGATTTCATTTCGATACTACACAAGGGAAATAAAGATCACTTAGCTATCAAACAGTTAAATGCCATGTCTTGAAATCAAACCACTATTAACCGTGATCAAACTGATATTTAACTAAATTTAAAAATGTTGCTTTATGAATTTTATTTGTAGCAATCTTAGTGGTGGTTCACCCTATTTACTAGTATGAGCTGTAATTACCGTTATATATAATGCAGGATCGAGGAACATATTGTAACTATGGTATAAACTAACTCGGACATATACCCAAACGTCCGCTGACCAATGATGAATTTGAATTTGGAGTGAGAAATTTGAATTTGGAGTGAGAAATTTGAATTTGGAGTGAGGAATTTGAATTTGGAGTGAGGAATTTGAATCGTGCGTGTTTTATCAGACCTAAAGATACTCGGCTTCGCCTCGTATCTTTATATCTGATAAAACACTGCTGCTCATGTATATATAGTACTTCAAACACTCATTAATAATTCATATATTAAGCTTATTGGCAAATCATGTCAACCATAATATGTTACGTGCAGTGACTTTAAACCTGATAAAACACTCCTAATTAGTATTCTTTATATAAAGAATACTATAATAAGGCAGTATCTATTGTAGTCGTGTCCTCATTATATAGTATATTCTTTATATAAAGAATACTAAAAAGCGGTATATCTATTGAAATTATAGTCGTGTTTGAATTATAAGTAAACGCATGCTTTGAGGGAAATTAGTGATTAAATGTCCCCGCAAACCGAGGGAGGTTTAGTAAAAGTCCCGAGGGCGTAGCCCGAGGGACTTTTACCAAACCTCCCGAGGTTAATTGCGGGGACATTTAATCACTAATTTCCCTCAAAGCATGCGTTTAGGTTTATTTTGAGTTGAACGACGAAAGGCCTTGATCATTGCTGATCTGGTCCCGATGGTGCAATGGAACCTGAGCCCGTGAAATCGCCGTACCCAGGGGGTTGCTACACAGCAAGCAAACCAACAGAGAGTACGACCCTCTCCCCGTGCCATGAGACAACCATGAATGACCTGAACAATCGGATGCTGAGCATCGTCATGCCCAGGGATCCCTAATCCTATGATAGTGGATGGACGGGAATGATGTTAACTGAGTTTGAATCATCATGAACAACCCCCCAGTCTACCAGATACCTGTGCGGACAACAAAAGTCCGAGCAAACCACAGGCCAACATTAATTCAACAAGACGCTCTGTGGAGCGTTAACTCGCTGGGACTACACAACTGACGTACATTACTGTTAAGATCTAAAGACTGATTTCCACTGGCACTGTTGCGTTTTTCGTACGCACGTACACGCACGTAAAACTTTGAATCCTTCTATTTTTAAATATTTTACAAATAAGTTAACAAATTCATACTAAAACTTGCAGAGCAGTAAATTCTGTTGCTTTATTTATTTGGTTATTTTACAAATTTAAAGTTTTACGTGCGTATATTAAGCCTGGTGTGGAAATTAAGCCTGGCCCCGAGCTAAGGGGAAACTTCCGGCGTTTATGCCCACAAGTAAAGTTATATTTTATAGTACGCTACATTCTTCTGTCGGCCGCCAGTTTAAAACGTTCAAAATAAAATATTTTGGGGCTTTTGGGCTCAAAACATTATCAAAATGAAGAGAGAAGTGAGACAAATCCACTGGTGTGCGGCCGAAAAAGAGAAAACCAATGATACCAAAGGTATCAAGTCGAATCAAGGATCAAACGTACTGCATCTTTTATAATTTGAGCGTTTGTCAAGAAATAATACAATTTCGCTTGGCTTTCAAAGACAAAGTCATGAGAGGCCATAAATCGCTAAAATACTAGCTGTTGTCAGTTGTTTAGTAATACATTTGACATCCGTAGGTACAATTTCTTATCCGTAAGTACAATTTCTTATGCTGAATCGAACGGTGGTATTTTTATTCTTATTGCGCCATTAATTAGGCAATACAAATACAAGTAACAAGGTCAAGGACAAACGTACTGCGAGTGATTTGATGTCAACAAGACAATTTCGCTTGATTTTCAGAGGCCATAAATCGCTAGAATACTGCTGTTTAGTAATACATTTGACATCCGTAAGTACAATTTCTAATACGCTGAATCGAACGGTGGTATTTTTATCCTTATTGCGCCATTTATAAGGGGCATTACAAATACAATATCATGTTTCGCACTGAGTACACTACAGACAGTTTTCGATAAATTTTATATTGATGTGACACCAATATGCTTCTCATAAACAGGGCCGTTGCGAAGGGATATGGATTGGGGGGGTGTCGAAGGTCAAATTGCCGAGTGACGCTAGTTGAATTTGCCGAGTTTTTCAAAAGTTTGTAAAGGTTAGATATAGGTAATGAGAATCATATTGGTGTGCTAGTAACTGAGGGACACCAATATGGCTCTTGTTTTGAAATGGATGCCTGTTCGTGGGTTGTTGCTTTATATTAAACATATAAAGCTGAAAAAAATTTAAGTTTAACATAATTTATACTGTGTTTTCATAAGTCCTAAATCGAGACTGAAACTATGTGCACACGGGTCACGTTTTTGAGCGTTTTTGCAGTGCCGTTTTCAAATTTAGCGTTTAGGCGCCTTGTTCACATTGATCGTTTTTCTCGCAACATTTTCTGACAAAGCACCAGTTTTTTATAGTCTTCGTTTCCAAATTCAAACACGGAATTTCATTTTCGCCTTCTACTTTTCTGTTTACACAATAACAAAGTGCCAAAACGACCAAACGTTTCAGACATAGAGAACGAATGTTTGGCATCGTTTTCACTATTTGAAACGTTTTTGCTTCCTGACGTCGTTTTCATACGTTTTCGTGTGAACAGAACGTACGTGAAAATGGTACTTTCAGTTTCAGAAATTAACGCATTAATTACAACCAAAACCCGAAAAACGCTCGGAAACGGTACCGTGTGCATATAGTCTGAGTAACGAGTGTCTTAGACTGTGGTGCAGACGCGCATCTCCGCAAAGTCAGAAAAGTTATCCAAGTATTACCCTGGTTCCAGAGGTTTATTTTTATTATTTTCATTGCGAAGGGGAGAGGAAAAATAAACCTCTGGTTGAAAGCGGCAATTGATTCATTGAGCCGCGCCAATCAGTTTGAATTAGGGTCATGATCCTGATTGGGTGATCGTATTAAAGCTCTCTGATTGGTTATGGATGTTCTATTTGAACGAATCAGAGAACTTTAATACAATCATCCAGTCAGGAGACAGAGTCAGGATCTGACCCTAATTCAAACTGATTGGCGCAGCTCAATGAATCAATTGCCGCTTTCAACCAGAGGTTTATTTTCCCTCTCCCCTTCGCAATGAAAATAATAAGAATAAACCTCAGGAACCAGGGTATCCAAGTATCTGCATGTGATTGCATTGATATTTTGTTTCAATATTTTCATGGCAATTTGATGAATTTGACCTTTTTTATCCCCAGGCGCTGAATAGACAATTTATAATATTTTTTGTATTTTGAGCAGTCTTAAAACTCTTAGTGCCGGATAGTGTTAACTGGGCTTTTGTACGACCCGATTTTCCAAGAGTTTAAATTTTATGCGTCAGAAAGCGAGTAAAACGGATATGATCATATGCAACCGATCGATGATACCGATCGCTGTATGCGGTATGTCTTTCAAAACTGTAGGCTGATCAGAGTTAACAGTAATTTCGCTAAAGAACTAAAGAAGACATTAAGACAAGTCCGTTCTTATCAGTGGCATGGCTCGTCTTTCTCTTGGTCTTCTTCTCATGTACCTGTGGAGTCTTCTTGAGGATCTTGCGCCTCTGACGACTCAAAATATTCTCTTTGGCTTTGACTGCGCTTTGCAGTCTCAAACGGATTAGCTGGTACGTCTTTATGTGCTACTCGCACTCGGTTTCCCTTATGACAAGTTTGCTCGTGCCTCTTACGGTAATCGTCGGGCCGTATGTTAGATAACTTTTATGGTTAATACGTTTTCCCTCGTGAAATAAATAATAAAGTTTCTATAGTCGTCAAAAATCGAATTACATTCAAGACACTAAAGTTTTATTCTTTTTCTTTTGGGTTTTGAACCGCGCATAATTGATAAAGAGCCTTCGCTATAAGAGCAGTCGAGCGAAGAACATGTCCGGAAACGTGGGTTTCACATTTCAGCCTCCCGTCGATTTTCGACAAATAAAAGACTAATAGTATTACTAGAAAATAGAAATACATTTAAATGGTATAAGGCCACACAAACCATTATTTTAAATCCTAAATTTATCGCTTTATTTATCGCCTTCGTTCTTAACTTTTACAATTTGCTGAATGCCGAATTTGCAATTTGCCAAACAGTAACGAAGCAATTTGCCGACTGGGGCCGACTTGCGAAAATTATTGGGGGGTGAAGCACCCCCCACATCCCCCCGCTCGCGACGGCCCTGCTAATAAAGTAGTTATAATTTAAACTCCACAACGTAGTTTTAACAAATAACCTTTTACCTTGAAATTGTCTTTGGCTCCTTTATATTCAGATTCAGTATATTATGATCGTGCACGGGAATTCAACGATCCAAATTTCGGATTTTCAGAGTCGTGCACCAAGAAAAACGCATTAAATAAACTAGCATGAATGTCCAGAGTTAGACACAAAGCAAAATCCATAGCAAACAGGTACAATTCGGCCAAAATTTTCACGAAATGGGGCCCGGAATTGTTTGAACAAAGTGACTATATGACCGGCAGCCGGTCACGATTTATCAGATACTAAATGGCCGGCAGTCTAGTGGCAATTGATAAAACTAGAATAGTGATGCGAATAGTGCGAATAGTCGACGAATAGTACGAATAGTCCGCGAATAGTCGACGAATAGTGCGAATAGTCCGCGAATATATAGTCGACGAATAGTACGAATAGTCCGCGAATAGTCGACGAATAGTCCGCGAATAGTCGACGAATAGTACGAATAGTCGACGAATAGTGCAATAGAGACTTTGCAAGGCTTTCCACCGTGCTGCAGAACTAAATTTACCGGGGCGGGGGGGGGGGAGGCTCTATTGACAAACATGAAATCGTGAAAACATTCGTTGATGTCAATGACGTCATACGTAATCGGTAAAAATTACGGGACCACTGAGTTTTAACAAATATTTAACAGGAAGTAGAATGACAATCACTAGAATGACGTTTCCCACTGGGCGAATTTGTTCGCGCGAAGCGACAAGTAATTAATAAAAGAGTAGGATGATCCAACTTTTTCGCGGCGAATTTTTTCGCTGACCAATCACATTGCCAAAATTTGGTTTTCGCTTCGCGCGAACAAATTCGCCCAAAAACGGGCTTAAATAATAAATCGATACCTTCTCTTGTTTCGTGATGTAAATCACGTTTTCCAAGCACACGAAATCACTTAAGCCCTTAAATCTTCAGTTACAACGTCACAACTTACAAGTAAAATTCCTATAAAATTCCATCAGTAAAATTCATTACTCATATGGTTACCACTTACCATCAGGAATGGTTATAAATTGAAAAAATATGAAATATATTTCCTGACAGTGACTGAATTTTAATCGAAGTTACCGTTGTTTTATATTTTATTAAAATACTCAGTGGTTCCCGTAATTTTTACCGGTTACGTATGACGTCATTGACGTACGTCAACGAATGTTTTCACGATTTCATGTTTGTCAATAGAGCCCCTCCCCCCCCCCGCTAAATTTAGTTCTACAGCACTGCTGCAAAGCCTTGCAAAGTCTCTATTGCACTATTCGTCGACTATTCGTACTATTCGTCGCCTATTCGCGGACTATTCGTCGACTATTCGCGGACTATTCGTACTATTCGTCGACTATTCGCGGACTATTCGTACTATTCGTCGACTATTCGCGGACTATTCGTACTATTCGTCGACTATTCGCACTATTTGCACTATTCGCTTCACTATTCTAGTTTTATCAATTACCGCAGTCTAGTGACTATAGTTGACTATAAAAACTTTTGTTTGCGTTAACTTTTAACGAGCTTGCTGTTAGCTAATACGGCAAGGGCGCTGCGTGCGAAAAGTTAAACGCAGTCGGGGTCGGGATGTGTTTTGTTTGACTTAGCATTGTTTTTTCTTAAAATTTTTTAAACTTTTTTTTCCGACTTTTCTAACTCTCAAAAGGTTAGGGTTAGGGGTTAGGGGTTAGAAAAGGGTTTAGGGTTGGGGATAGGTTTATCTTATAAAAATTCAACTTTAACAATAGTCACTAGACTGCCGGCCATTTAGTATTTGATAAACCGTGACCGGCTGCCGGTCATATAGTCACTTCGTTGTTTGAAACATTTTGCCCACTCCACGAAAGGCCCCGCCATTTTGAAAAGGATCAAGCAGCTCATTAATATTCTATTTTGTGGCTATCAACCAGCCTAGACCTAGGCCTTCTAGTCTTATTTATATATTTTTAATATTCAGCGCTTTTTCACATGAAAAGACTGGGACTAGGTGATTTGGGGGCGGGGCGGAGGAGCCAAGCCTAGAAGGCCTAGTGGATTTCCCAACAACAAGGCCAACACTGCCCTGAAACTGTCCTGGTTGCGAAATGCCCAATTATTGCGTTCTCAAACAGAATTATTTGCAACTTAACGGCGAATTTAAACCGATACAGGTAAAATAAACTCATTTATAGTATAAACTAACTATTTTTATTTGTATACACGTCTAGAAAATCGGTTTTTTATCATAAAGTTCGAAGCAACACTATTATTTAATATGTTGACAAGGTGAAGGGAAAGCACAAAATGAGTCAAAATATATACCAAAAGTAGAATCTTTCATGAAATTTTGTCTTATACACAACTACATTAATATATATTTTCTCAATTTTGGCAAGAAGCAGTCTTGTGTTTGTAAAATATACAAACACATATACAATTATAATTTATTAAATAAAACGGATACATATATTATTAGCCCGTACAGTACTGTACATAAAAACGTACATTGTTTACAAATGGTATATCCGTAATATTTGAACAATAATTTCAAAATCCTCATTCCCAATTCGCAAATATAGTTATTCAAAGCAAAACAGTAGATTGTCTTGCGAAGAAAAGAATTATTATTTTCATATTTTGTGCTTTCGCTTCACCTTGTCAACATAATAATAGTGTTGCTTCAAACTTTATGATAGACATTTTCTAGACGTGTATACAAATAAAAATAGTAAGTTTATACTATAAATGAGTTTATTTTACCTGTATCGGTTTAAATTCGCTGTTAAGTTGCAAATAATTCTGTTTGAGAACGCAACAATTGGGCATTTCGCAATCAGGGCAGTTTCAGGGCAGTTTTGGCCTTCTTCTTGGGAAATCCACTAGGCCTTCTATTTTTTCGCTTGCGTTAGGCTTGTGTCCTTCCTCCGCCCCGCCCCCAAATCACCTAGTCCCAGTCTTTTCATGCGAAAAAGCGCTGAATATTAAAAAAATATAAATAAAAATAGAAGGCCTAGGTCTAGGCTTAAGGTACAACTAAAAATCTTGAAGCATCGCACACTGCACTCAGCTTGCCGCATTTATACAATTATCCATAAAAATACACAGTACCTGCTAGGAAAGTATTTATTGCTGTTAAGAAGTGACGCAGCGCCATCCAAAGTGTGCCTTGTATAGTCCAAAGCAGGACACTATATAGTTAAAAGAAGCAGAAATATTATGAACCTTTCGACTGCAAATGTTAATATTTATCATTACTCTATGCATGGCAAGGTCGTCCGTCTGCAAAATGCAACATTTTGATTGGTTCCTGAGCGGTCGGTAACCTGCACTACGGACTGCTCACTGATCTCATAGTGTGGACCGCTCGCGTAGAAAAACTTAAAAATATGTGATCTTCGAAGTTTTTTTTTATATAAAATAACTTTAACTATTCTACTCTAGTTTGTGTTAAAACGATGTTTACATGAATTGTGTAAAAACGCTTTTTATAATACAGACAGAGTGATAGTTAATACTTGCCGCCATTGAGCGATTTTTCGGGGAACTGAAGTGAAATTGCAGTAAAACTGCTCTGTTTTCGACTTTTAAATTAAAAGATTAACATCTGAAAATAATTTGTTATCGTTTGATCTTAGTCAAAAATTGTTTCCAGTTAAAATCTTGCGTTTTTAAATGTTCAAATAGTGTAGTAAAAAACTTATTAATTTATAAACGTTGTTTTTCGAAGAATGCCCTTGTTTTTAGCCATATAATAAATTCACTTATTGACTGAGCTTGTTCGGTCCGGACAGTAGGATATTAGTCTCGTTCTTCATGCATTCGTTTGCATACATGGGTGTCGGCCATATATACAAACGAAAAAAGAACTCGACTTATACCCAACAGTCCGAACCTCTCGCTTAGTCAATAACATATATAGTATATGTATTGATATAAAAATGATCAAATGAAACCTCTTTTGGAGTTTTATGCGCAGCACAAAGGAAGATCCATTGTTCTGTTGCAGTCATCTGAGTACATACGTCAGGAAAGCAGTCAACCTAGAAAAAATGTTTAGTATAAAAATTGCATGTGTATCAAATTATCTCGGCTTTATATGCTGTTATAATTTGGGATTGGAAACGAGATAAATTTTTTATTCAATTCTAGAAAAGCAAGGGTGGAAGATACAGTGGTAAACTGACATTCAACCCTTGACGTCACAACACATAATTCTGACGTGATTGTTTGACTTCCACCATTTTGGGTGCAAATGTTTAAATCTAAATAAAAACATACACGGTGTCAATTAGCCGTCAAATTTCTCCAGGTTTATAATTCGACAGAGCTCCAAATAATCGCTTTCATTTGCATTTATAACCTGCTTGATACGAAATCAGAAAGGCTATTTTCTGGTGAATTCAGATAAATAAATGGTTTGTACTGGTTTCCCCTGCTGTCTGTAGTGCCCATCATTATTCTTGCCAATAAAAAATTTGGGGATTTCTTAGCACAATGTAATATTGTCGGCTTTGTTGCATGACTACAAGACCTGAATATGTCGAGAGTATATTCCTTACGAGATGGGACTTTTTTAATACAGTTGTGGATGGATTCTCCTGTGCTCCGAGGATTTTCCTCCGGGTTCACCATAGATGTGTTTCGTAGTAGGTCATCAGTCGGTGGAATGGTGCATGGCAACCACAGACGCCCTATACTCCATAGTTATAGTAAGGCTCTGACACATCACGTTTAACCTGCGTGTCTTTAAGAACTCAGATGGAATAATAATTACTCGAAAGATCTAAGTGTAGATAGATCTATAAAGATAAGATCTAAGTGTAGCTAGTGACAAATGTATGTGGCTACCAACTTCCCGACGAAGGGCCCACTCGATCGAAACGCCAAATTTTTGCTTGTATTTTTCAGGTAGTTGAGCTGCAGTTTTATGGTGCAAGAATAACTGTGGTATGTCTGCGATATATTGAACTTACGACATGTCGCCGGTTAAACTTAAATTTATTTTAAATTACTGATTAATTTGTGAATTTCAGTTATCATAACAGATCCGACTAATTATAACTTTACCAAAAAATCCTCATAGTCGGGTATATAAAATCCTCATAGTCGGGTATATATGTTTGTTATATAGTTAGTGTCAAAGTTCAATTTTTCTGTTTGCCGATTGGTCAAAACCGTATCACGTGCCGGTCCACAAAACGTCATGTTCGGCAAACAGTCCGCAATGAAACATTTATTGACCGGTCAATAATAAAATGGGTGCAATACGCATGTGTGTCAACCATGAAGTTCCAAAGTTCATTTTTTAAACTTTTTACTAAACATTTACGACGTTCCATTTATCCAGTTTTGGTTTCAAATTAAGTTCACTCCAATAACTGGTGAATTATTCATACTTTGAGTCTTTTGACACTTATATAATATATAACAAAACACTTATTTACTGAGACCTCGGGAAAGCAGTGTTTTGTGGCACCCCGACCGCCGTTGTTGCCCTCGGCTTCGCCTCGGGAAACAACGGCGGTCTTGGGTCCACAAAACACACTGTTTTCCTCGGTCTCAGTAAATAAGTGATAAATGTGTAACTTGGTAATATTACTATAATTTATATATTCTGATTTACTTGGGCCCCAGTTACACGATACCCAACGTCAAATTTTACACTTTCAAGGGGAGTTTAGCACTCAAAATTATGATAATATAACAGAGTTAGTAATTAAAATACTTCAAATATGAAAAGTTGTAAGAGGCCGAAAAGCATCTTAGTTGATGTCATTCGACCAGCTCCGATGCGAATCCGGTATCGTGTATGTGTGTAGTCCATGCATATATAATTCAGTTTTCCAGGACATCATCATCTTCGTTGTCCTTACTTCTTTGTCCGTTGTCAAATTCTTAAATATTTCGCAGCACAAGAGTTAAGGCTCTTTTCCACTAATCCCCAAAACCAACTCGCAAGTTCGCTGCGAGCTTTTGAATCAATTATCAAATAAAATAAAATGTGGAGCATTGTGATTGGGTGAAAGCATTCGCAGCGAGCTTGCGAGTTTTAAAACTGTTGCGATGAATAGAAAAAAGCTTTACTAACCTGCAATATCACCGCAAGGTCATTCAGCTGTAGACAAAACTGCCTATAAAAATGTAAATATCAGTATTATAAGCGAACGCTTGTTCTACCAGGCTTGAAAGGGTGGGGGGAGATGTAAAGAACCAACGCAAAAATATCCTTAAAAGTGAAAGGGTCGAAGTTTTATGATGATTTATTATAACCACTGTTCATAGAGCAGGTAGGAATTGGGCAGGAATTTGAAATAAAAAATCGCTGACGGCGTTGCAAAATGAAGGGTCTTCTCCCATGCATAAGCTTCTATTCATAGGGAAGAAGGGAACAGTTTTTCACTGGGAGCAAGGAAACAAAGCCTAAAAGCATGTAAGCTTGGGGAACAAAGGAAATATTTCCAGGGGAACACGGACCCCCCCCCCCGCCCAGGGAGACCCTCAACTTACGAAAATAATATGCATTAAATATTCAACACTTTTTATATACGATATACAGAAATTCGTATTTTTGGAGGGAGGGGAGATAACTATTTTAGCGGGTTAGTCACGTAGGGGAAAATGTCAAAATTTTGAGACGGTTGAACATACATGGCACGCAATTTTTCAAAACAACTAAATTGCATGTTGAAAGTAGCAACCCTGGTAACAACTGAATTGTTATGTACCTTAAATGTTCATATTTCCACACACCCAAATCTTGTCCCTCGGGCGGCTCCAATATCAACGATATGTTTTCAAAATCAGATTTGATCAATTGCTGGATATACTACAATAACAAAAACCAAACTTGGTATAGGTTTGATACGAAGTTATGAAACAAGTTTAACTACAATTTACAAAATTCAATAGAAAAGCCAACCTCGTACCCAGGGCTAGTCGCGAATTGAAGGCGGCGACATCTTCAATTCGCGACTAGCCCTGGGTACGAGGTTGCAATTCAAGTTCCATTCGTGAACTTTTCGTCGCCCCCCTGTCTTTATTTCCACAAAGCCCGCTCGCAGGCTAATACTCCAAGAATCTTGGAGTATTTGCCTGACACGTGACCAGCATTTACCAGGGCTATGTCGCCGCCTTCAATTCGCGACTAGCCCTGGCTACGAGGTTGTAGAAAAGCATTGTGATGAACTCTGAACAGTAATAGCTATAATTAGAGACACGCGCAACATTACCATATATGGTATAATAACTTTGTTATTGCGAGACGGTGAGAGACAATTGACAGGGTTTGAGACAAGTGAATTCATATATTTCGTATTGTTTTTTGTGAATAATAAATATTTAGAGTGACCTAGGATTTATATACGAGGATAACTTCGGTATAGCATGATTAATCAGTATCTTTAAATTCCGTTTTCTTTTCCATTCTACGATCGCTTTGCCCATGTGGGTTGAGCGACCCATGCAAGTCACGTGTGTAATTAGTTGCTCGCGTGCACATCAACATTCTTTAGTTCAACATTCATGGTGTATATAGTTGATCGTGACTAAAACACCACACGAGTACATACGAGTAACATACGAGTAACACACGAGTACATACGAGTAACATACGAGTAACACACGAGTACATACGAGTAACATATGAGTAACACACGAGTACATACGAGTAACATACGAGTAACATACGAGTAACACACGAATAACATACGAGTACATACGAGTAACATACGAGTAACACACGAGTAGCATACAAGTACACACGAGTAACATACGAGTAAATACCAGTAAAATACGAGTACATACGTGTAAAATACGAGAATTAGCACGCTTTCTTTACAGTTTCTTTCACTTTCACTTTGGCTTCGTATTATGTTCATGTTGTAAATACCTTATTGACATAGGCGTACGAGACAGGGGGCGGGGTGAAACTGCCCCCCCCCAAAAAAAAAATATTTTGGAAAACCATGGAAATTCGGGCAAACGCTAGGAAAAATTAAGAAAATTCTGCAAGATTTATGAGAAAATATGTTAAAATCAGGTTATTTCTTTACAATTCTCCATAAAAATTCGGGCAAACTTTCAACTGCCCCCCCCCCCCTCCAGAAAACATCAGCCCTGTTCTCCTATGCGTATTGATGGATTTCGAAGCCTCTCACGACGTAGAAAAAGTAATTCATTAATATAGAATAAAGTTTTGTATGTTCTAAGACTCTAAAAAGCAGCGTTTCCATTTGGAAGGAAATTTCCTTCCAGAAGGAAATTTGGGCCTTTGGAAGGAAATTTGGAAGGAAATAGCATTTGGAAGGAAATTGGGAGGAAATATTGTTATAAGGAGGGAAATGAGAAGGAAATCTATTTTATCTCATAATTTCTAAGAATAAGGCAATTTTCATACAATTTTGTGCAAAAGAAGACTCTGAAAATGCCATTTCCAACGATCTAGACAACCTCGTTCCCAGGGCTTTTCCCTTTTTGTCATTGGGAAGGCGGGAAAAGGCCCTGGCACCGGCCGGTCCCACTGAGCTATAATATTACATTGCGTTTTCGCACGTTTTCCAACTTTTTTTCAATATTAAATAATATTCGCCGACACAAAGTCGAGGTGAATATTCCCCGATAATCACCGAGCATGAGGTGAATAATTGTTTTAGTATTTTTGCACAAGTTTTTTTTGTGTTTTTCTGGTCTACAGAACTTGCATGATATTAACTAAGGTTAAACTTATTGTCAAATGTGGCTCGCTGACGCTGTTTATTACGTTAAATAAATTACTAGCTCGCAATTTGTTTTTCAACACTTTGTTGCATTTGTCCATTTTCTCTTTGCTCAGCCGTTCTTGTCCATCTAAGCCTCCTGGATATTATTCACGCTTAAGGAAATTGTTTCATGGTGTTGACGATCTCTCTTCTTTATCTTCAATATTTTCATAAAAGCACTTCGGAATCTGGAAGACTGCATTGCATAGCAGAAAAAGTTTAAGCTAGAATTAATTAAGATTGAAATTATTGACAAATCCAAAAACCAATGCAGAGCGACACAAGCGCATGATTCACAGAATTTGATGAGATAAATGAACAAAGTTGCAGGACCATAGCAACGAAACATGGCAATAAGGACGACAAGGAACATCTTGGTGACTTTCTCTTCCATTTTATTTGTGCTCGTGATGATTGAGTTGGATGTAGTTGTATTGTTTGGAGCTGTTGATGAACTTTGAGATTTTTCACGTTCTGTTGAATAAAGCGAAGCTATGCCTCTGTTTCGATTTTCTATTGTCTTATGAGCTCGTTCTTTGATCTTTAGCCACATTAAGATGTAAGTGAAACACGTTATTGAAATAGCCAAAACGAGCGATGCATTAACAAAGACAAATGAGTATAGAATGTATCCAACTGTAAAATATATATTCGGTAAAGTCAAAGAGATTAACCAAATTACAGCGACGGTTACCATGATTCGTTTATTAGTCATTTTATTACGATATGTGGTAGGTTGTCTTACCGCCAGGTATCTTTCAATAGCCAAACTTGTAATGCTTAGAGCTGAGGCAGTACATGATATGAAGTAACTCGTATGAAGCACAGTCTGTTCGGCATAAGTATTTTTCTTCCCAAGGCATAGTTTGAAGTGAATGCTCACCGAGATAGGATCTGTGATCGTTCCAGTAATTAGATCAGCCGCCGCCAAATTTACAATTAACCAATTGAATGGTCTTCGAAGATTTTTGTTCGGATCTAACGCAACAGACAGAATAATGAGGATATTCCCAAAGACACTTAGGAAAGACAGGATAAGGCAAAGACCAGTTGTTGCAACTGCTAGCGCCAGTGGAACGTCAGAGAATGGGCAATTTTTTTCAAACTTACCATGACTGAAATACATTTCCTGCAAAATATTGATAATTACAACATGCATTAGTATATTCTGATTAAAAAAATTAAAAATTGCCTGGGTTAAACTTAAGATGATGACATTGACAACATTGCCATGAAATGACAACGAAATCTGGAACACGACATGGCAACGTTTTCCAGCTTTGAACTTTTTGAAAATCAGACTGAAACCGACATGGATACCCGCCTTAATAGGGCACTATATAGCAGTCAATTAAACTTAATTTCAAGCCTAGAGTTGCCAGCGATAAGGTGATCGATAATAAATTTGGATGTCTATTGATATAAATCATCGTCACGATGTCGATGATTAACAACTAGAATACGCTGACGATGAAAACGACAACATTATTACAGTTTACGCGAAGATTCAAATGTGTAAATATATAGCAGATGGTTATAAATTATTTCAATATTTAAAATATAACCGTCTAAGTTTATAATAATAATATCTCTACAATGGTTTGAAGTTTTACTCTATACCTTAACTGATTTGGATGTGTCCTTTATTGCTTTGAATAGATTAATGTTTTTCAATCACAAATTATAAAGGCCAATTGCAATTGCATTGAACTGTACGTTCTTGGCCTTTGGACCATGTATATTTAATGAACATGAATATCTCTCATCCAAGGAGGACAAGTGATGCGAAATAAATGAATTTTCTTAGAAATTTCGAGTATTGTTTTGACATGACACTTATCTTAGTACTCAATAACCAAATTCAACATTGTTGAAGCAAAACAGCTACGAATTCGAAAGTTCAGGTTTCGGAAAATCCAACGCCAGAGATTATAACTATATAATTTTAAATTAGAGTAATAACTATAATTTTAAAATATTTTACCTTAAATAACTACTCAGCAATTAGTGATTTTGGCGAAGAAAAAGCGAAAACATTACTCTCCCAAGTCCCAAAACATCACATGCACCTGTCACTACATTTTCATGTTAACTTGATCATTGCTCTCCCCTGTGCATGGGCCCAGTACATGTGATAAAATATTAAAAGATAAATTGCAAATACTACAAAATCGTGCGGCTAGAGTTATCACTGGAGCAAGATATGATGATAGGATTAGATCAAGTGATCTTTTCGAAAGCTAGTTTAGGATGGGATAGTCTTAAGCCGGTTTTCCACTTCAAGCGTACCGTACCTAAACGTATCAAAAACGTTTTTAAATTTCAAAATTTCGTGAGTGTTGATTGGTTAATACTTCCATAGTACGCCCAAAAAGTTGACTTGCGACGAACTTTTTTTTTGATACGCGAATACACCCGGAAGTACGTGAATTTATAAACCTCTTTTCAATCTGCGCATGCTCACCAGTACGTTTCGGTACGATACGGGCGAAGTGGAAAACCGGCTTAACATGGATGTTAGGCGGGCTAACTAGAGACTCCATATTTTCAAAATTTTCCGCTCGGCGCCAACCATAGAGGCGCCTCGTGGGACCCCCAAAGCGACATCTCACACATGTTTTTTTTTCCAAAGTTGGCAACTATGTATCTAGCACAGAACCCCAGAATCGCTATATTGAAATAACAACCAAACCTCGTACCCAGAGTATTATTTCTCAGACTCTACTTGGGGGGGGGGCTGCATAGCGTGGCAGAGGGGAGAGATGCAAGAAACAGTTATGGAATCTCTTTTCGCACCCACAGCAAGTAGCCCCAATTATTATGCTTTTTGTCCCCCGCGGGGGCGAATATAAACTGATTTTAACCGGCAAAATACAAATGTTACTATAGTCCGACTATAGCACCTGATGTTGAATAAAATTATCATATATTTGAAACAAACGTCACATTATACAAATCTTACGTAAAATTATCAAATTTTACGTTTACTTTTACTTGTACCTTTACTATTACTCTATTACGTTTAGAACCGTTTGGTTCTACGACTAAACAAAAACTAAAACAAACAACATGGCCGCCCTATTTGCCATGCCAAAATGCGTCCACTGCGCATGCGCAAGGCGGGAAAATCCATACGGTAGCTACACCGGCCCCTAAATGGGCATATACCAATAGTCCATTTACTAACTCCATGAAGGCTACCGTTCTTAACCTATAACACAAATATAATATAAATTGTCAAATTTCACTGTTTAGTTCAACGCGCTCATTCATAGTCCTAGCCAGATTACTCTCCGTCCATTTCAAGCAAACACAACTTCGCCACAGGCCGTGTTAGTATCGTTGTATTGATTTTGTTCTCTCCCCTTCTTCGGTGTTTCGCTCGGGTTGATACAGTCGAACTGGTCTTTACTTTCACTGTGCGTACATAACCGTCTTTACTCGGCATAACTTCCGTCACCATTGCCAATGGCCATTGTCCTCTTGGGTAGTTTTCATCTGCTATGAGCACCAAATCTCCTATCTTTAAGTTTCTTCTTGGGATATTCCACTTCTTTCTTTCGATTAAGCTTGGTAAATATTCTCTTATCCATCTACGCCAGAATACATTAGCAAGATACTGTGCCTGTCTCCAGCTTTTTCTGCAACTCAATTCATCTTTGTCGAATACACCGGGAGGTAAACTCGACGTCGGGCGTAAATGTAGTAGATGATTTGGAGTTAATGGATCTTCATCCATAGGACTGTCGCTGTTTCTTGTGAGAGGTCTTGAGTTCAAGATTTGGGTTGCTTCAGCCATCACGGTCTGCAAGACTTCATCAGAAACCAACTGTTCCTTTAGAATAGCTCTCAAAACTTGTCTCGTTGACCTTATCAAACGCTCCCATACGCCGCCCATATGACTCGCAGACGGTGGGTTAAAGTCCCATTTAATTCTTCTTTGTGTGCAGAAATTGTGGATCTTCGTCTGATTCCATTCTTCAATGCTTCGGTTCAGTTCCTTGTCAGCACTCACAAAATTCGTTCCATTGTCGCTCTTTATCTCTTCTGGGCAACCTCGTAT